TGTATTGTTCAAATATTTTTATCCAGGGTTATTTATTACAGTAGTTTTAGAGACTATGGTTATTTTATTGCAGAATTATCTAAAATTGTAACATGACTGAGGACAAGACATATGGTTGTGTTTATTTGTTATAAATATTATACCGTCAAGTTCAGGTGATAGGTATTTGTATTGCAGTGTGTTGTAGTTTGCTGACCTAAATCCAAACTGGATGCTTTTAGACAACAGTGTCCAGTTCCAGTAACAACACAGGAGTCCTGAGGCAAATCTTGTAGTTATTTAAACAACTGTTTTAAGATCTATTAACTCTGATTATTGCTCCTGTGTTTTCACACAGCCCAAAGTTTTCTCCTCAAGCTGTGTGAGACTCAGTTGCTGTGAAAACAAATATTTCCTCTGGCAGTTACTAGATACTGGGATCTGTTCAGACTGGAGTTTTATTAGAGAAATTGGTCTGTTATGTCGGAAGAAATATGTATTTGACCTGGAAGTCCTTCATTGTAAGGAGATAAAGGTTTAATTCTTGTTCCATGTTTATTCTGCATTTGACTGATATTTCACAGGTAAATGAGTTGTTGTTTTTAAGTCTTAGATAACTAATAATAGGGGTCATTTTTCTTACATCATGGAATTTTAAAAAGAATGATTAATAAAAACAACCTTTAATTTTATCTGTGTGCTTTTAGAATATATTTTATTAAATGCAACTATAATTCAATCAGTAAATTATGTATGAAGATCTTGAGAGGTAAAAGCTAAAACACATTTTTCACATATTTATCATGTTATCATAGCTAAAAACATGTATGAATAAAAAGTAGTGTTAAAATGAATTTTAGTGTGTAATGGAAAAAAATATTTCACACTCCAAACTGACGGTGGATGAACATTTAATCAAAAAGAACAAATCTAGGTACTGTAAATCTAGGTACTGTAAATGTGCCCTGGACAGTAAGTATACACACTTCATGTACAGACTGGGATGGGACTGACTCGCATCAACAGCAACATTCCCTTGAGCGCTCACCCTGTCATTCAAACTGGACATTCTTTCAGACATTTACCCTGTCATTGAAACTGGGTCGGGATGTCTTTCAATTAAACCTTCAGTTTTTCAATCAGGCTCCCAGTCACACTAATCACCTCTCTATTTGAAACTGTTCAGAACACTGAATCTCCATCGTTAGAGCTAAACCTTGCGAACCTAGCGGTTGCATTCCTCTCATAGTCAAGTTTATTACTCTGTTATTTTCATATCTCACTACTCTTCGATCCTGAAATATTTTCTCTGTTTTAATTTTTTCCCTTTTCTGCTCTGACTCGCCAGCCTCTCTTTTCTTTATTTCAGCTGGAAGATGGGCTTCCTTCTTTATGTTTTCTTTCTGCTCACCTTTTTCATTCAGCCCAGCAGCCTGCATTCGATCTGTTACTCCCTGATCATTCAAACTCTGAAAGAGCTCGAAGTCCTGCGCCTGGGTTTCAATTATATCTCCTGCTACAGATTTTCCAACTTTCTGCAGCATCACACTTCACATATTTCAGCTTGTAAAGCACCCATCTATTAAGAAAATATTTTTATTGATTCTGTTCTGGATTTTATAACTTATTTTCAAAGTAGAATGTTGAAAAGACTTATTAGTGTTTAAATCTCTTAATTGATACAGACATGTGGTCAGTGTCCACTGTTAAGTACATGTGGGGCCTGAGACACAGATACACCAAACCAGGTTCTGCACCACAGCTACTGTCCACTCTACTGACCACAGCTCCCAGAAACCCAGGAACACAGTCATTACAGCCACTGTCCATTGTACTGACCACAGCTTCTAGAAACACAGGAACACAGTCATTACAACTACTGTCAACTCTACTGACCACAGCTCCCAGAAACACAGGAACACAGTCATTACAGCCACTGTCCACTATACTGCCCACACCTTCCAGAAACACAGGAAAACAGTCATTACAGCCACTGTCCACTGTACTGACCACAGCTTCTACAAACACAGGAACACCGTAATTACAGCCACTGTCCACTGTACTGACCACAGCTTCCAGAAACACAGGAACACAGTCATTACAGCCACTGTCCACTGTACTGACCACAGCTTCTAGAAACACAGGAACACAGTCATTACAGGCACTGACCACTATACTGACCACAGCTTCCAGAAACACATGAGCACAGTCTTTACAGCCGCTGTCCACTGTACTGACCACAGCGGAACAGCCCTCTGCAGTCACACAGTGATATGGACAGAGAGATATATAACATGATCTGGACACAGGTGTGTGCAGGGAGAGGTGAGATGGCTGCTGATGGACTTCCTGTCACGCCACTGTCTCTTGTTCCCCATGGAAGGGACTAGCAATCCAATCAAACAGGTAAAACAAAATAAAAAAAGCAGGTGTGTTTCTAAAATGTCTTAAAATAAAATATCCAGTAGACATGACGATAAGTTTTGTTTCTCTCTCTCTACAGGCAGTGTTGATGTGAGGCTGGTGAATGGTGCCAGTCCCTGTGAAGGGACACTGGAGATCCAGTATAAAGGAGAGTGGGGGACAGTTTATCACAGTGGCTGGGATCTCAATGATGCTGCAGTGGTGTGCAGACAGCTGGGCTGTGGATCTGCTGTTTCAGCACCAAAGAGCTCTCACTTCTGACCAGGGTCTGGATCAGTCCTGCTGGGCAGGATCGAGTGCAGTGGGTCAGAGTCTGCGCTGAGGGACTGTGAAAAACAAGAAATGAAACAGTATAGCGTTCCTCATGACTATGATGCTGGAGTGAGGTATTCAGGTAAGAGACACAGACTTGTCTCCAGCACTGAGGACAATGAAAACTCCTCCACTGATCTAGAGTCCATAATCATGATCCATTTAATTAAAATTAAAAGAATTAAAATCTAGTATTGATAATATGATGATAATAATAATTCAAAGCAATATATGTTATAAACATAATATATTTAATTTGATTAGAGTGTCTTGTTTCTGTGTTTCCTCTGTGTTTATACAGTCTCACTGAGCCTGTAGCTCATCCTCTCTATCCAGGCACTTCAGTGTTGTTCAGTTTAAACAGGCAGGCTGTGCTCAGTGAGTCTGTATCTACTTCACTGTGTCTTTACTGTTTTAGCACTGGTGAAGTGACAATCTGCTGTGGTTCCACTGTGCTGTTGGGTGAAATGCCTTTTCATTTTCATGTGTTTTAATGGTATTTTGGTGTCAGTGTCAGTGGATCTGGTCAGTCTCAGGTGTGTTTTAATGGTATTTTGGTGTCAGTGTCAGTGGATCTGGTCAGTCTCAGGTGTGTTTTAATGGTATTTTGGTGTCAGTGTCAGTGGATCTGGTCAGTCTCAGGTGTGTTTTAATGGTATTTTGGTGTCAGTGTCAGTGGATCTGGTCAGTCTCAGGTGTGTTATAATGGTCTTGTGGGGCTCAGTGCTGTAGTGGAGTTCTTGGTTGATTCTTGGTGGTGGAGTGACTGTCAGTCTGATTCAGATGAGTCCAGAATTTAAGAATTTAATAATTTAATGTGAGATTTCAATGCAGCTTTGGATATAAATAGAGAAGAAAGAGAATAGTTCTGTTGGCTCATCTATGTAATACAATTATGTTAGGTTTGATATTTCACATTAGATCTCTCACCTCTTAACTGCTCTGCTATATTTTGCCTTCTTTAAGGCACTGATGGTCATGTATTTTCTTGTGATGCACTATAGCCAGGAGCTGACTCTAGACCCAGCTGTGTGTACGTGGAGCTGAACTCCATGAGAGTGTGTCATTCTCTGAGATCTGCTTTCATTTGAAGAAGTACAACCCTGGATGTGTCCAGAGTGTCTGTCAGTGCCCAGGTCAGACAGTCCTGCTCCAGCAGTGCCAGGCTGTGACAGTCCTGGGCTTGTCCAGTGTGTGTGTCAGTGTTCAGATCAGACAGTCCTGCTCCAGCAGTGCCAGGCTGTGACAGTCCTGGTCTTGTCCAGAGTGTCTGTCAGTGCCCAGGTCAGACAGTCCTGCTCCAGCATTGCCAGGCTGTGAAAGTCCTGGTCTTGTCCAGAGTGTGTGTCAGTGCCCAGGTCAGGCAGTCCTGCTCCAACAGACACTCTGGACAAGACCAGGACTGTCACAGACTGGCACTGCTGGAGCAGGACTGTCTCACTTGGGCACTGACAGAAACTGATCAATTTAGCGTCTCTGATTTTTGTATCTTGTATTTGCCCCAGTATAAAACTAATAATGCACTGAACACCTTCTTTAGAGGCACATGTTGGAGCACAGAGGTGGAGATTGATGATTTAGAGTCTTTGTTTGTAACAGAGTTTAACATTCATGTAAAATTATCTATCTACATTATTTCTGGAGTAAAATAATAAATTTTACATTCAGTAAAAACGTTCAGCCCCAAAAGATTTTATGGTTAAACTATTTGACGTTGACCTTTCAAATTTTCTTCCGACTCTCTTCTCTTTCATTTTATTTTTATTTATTTCCTATTTTCTATTTTCTTATCTATATCTATTCCTATTATCTATATTCTTATTGAAAGCACTCTGCATTATTGTACAATTGATTGTAATAGTGTATGTATTTCTAAAATGTATTTTTCTATGCCTAATCGTAGGTGTAAATCTATTTATGAATGGAACAATAAGAAGTCAAGATTTAAATTGAGAATCTATGATATTTATTTTTTCACATGAAGTTAATTTATTTTCATAGGGTAGTAAGTTTAATTCTCCCAGATGTCAGGTTCAGTGACAGTGAGCAATGAGCTGTACTATGAGAGATTACCTGCTCAGACTGACAGCCTGTAGTTCTCTATTGCAGGTTTCCTGAGGCTGGTGAACGGACACAGTCTCTGCTCTGGGAGAGTTGAGGTGAATCTCAAGAACAACTGGACCTCAGTGTGCGACTCTGACTTTGACTGGCAGGATGCAGAGGTTGTCTGTCGTGACCTGGACTGTGGGTGTAACGGACACGGACTGGAATCCGTGTCAGATCTTGTAGAAGACCCTATGCGATGGGGTAAGAGCTGGAGAAAACAGGAGGCGTGGTAAAAAGGAACACACAGGGGTTTAATAGTGCACAAAATAATAGTGACAGTCCGTGAGACAGTGAATATCAACAAGAATATCACAAGCACAGACTATATACAACCAGAGAAGGAAATTCAGAATCACTATATACACAAGAGATAAAACTGGAGAATACTATATACAAAACGGTAGGGCTGTCCACTCTCAAAATAGTTCCAGCGGGGAAAGAAAAAAAACGGAGAAACAAAACGGTCCAGGAAAAAAAAATCCAAGAATTCCTTTAAAAAAAAAATCCACACAAAATACCTTGTCCAGTGAAACAGGAATGGATCTTGACAGGAAAACAGGAAGGGCATCTTGAAAAGAAAAAGGTCCAGATGAGGGTCAGGGTGTTCCAGATTACTGCTCGCGGGGTCTAGCGTAGGCTCATCATTCTGTAACGGACACGGACTGCAATCCGTGTCAGATCTTGTAGAAGACCCTATGCGATGCGGTAAGAGCTGGAGAAAACAGGAGGCGTGGTAAAAAGGAACACACGGGGGTTTAATAGTGCACAAAATAATAGTGACAGTCCGTGAGACAGTGTACGGGGAAGACAAAACGGCATCCAAATCCAAACGGGTCCAAGGGCAGTTCAAAGCACGGTCCGAAAGTCCATCAACTGGAAATCCATCCTGGGACGCGACAAAGTTAAAATCCCTGGGAGGGGGGAGCACACGGACAAACGAAACATGGAGGTCCAAGGGTGACGGGGCGAGATCCTCCAGACCCCGGGCTCAGGAAACGGGAGGTGTCGGGGATGAGGCCTATGCCCTCAGGAGACGGACGTAGGGTTTCCTGGTGCTAGGCAAGCCTTGCGACATCTTACCCTAATGATGAGCCCCGAGGACTGGAGGAGCTGGTCTTTAAATAATAAAACTAAAAGGGTAAACCTGGAGAGCTAAATGACACGAACAATAATGAGAGCAGTGGAGCGCCCTCTAGGGAGGGATGTCGGGCGTGACAGTGGGGCTCCTTCAGTGATACACAGAGGGGCTCATTTCAGACAGGGCCAGGGTGCAGTCGGGTCAGAGCAGTTTCAGTGTAAAGGACAGGAGTCCAAGCTACAGCACTGCCCCACTGCAGCCAGTTCAGTGCAGAGCTGCTCCCAGAGCAGAGCTGTGGGTCTCACTTGCACAGGTAAGATAAGATCACTTAACTAAAGGCAAGGTTGTTGTCATTTGTGAGTATTGTAGTATTTGTGAGTATTTGTGGGTATTGCAGAGGCAGTGTATGAGACTTATGTAGGACTAGTGTAGCACTGATGCTGGACAGTCCCTGTGTCATTGTTCCAGTAGCCCGCCTGGTGTGTAAACCCTAAAGAAAATAGCGTAGTATAATGGCCGAGGTGATGGAAGTTTCTGCCTGGGCTGTACTGTGAAATATACACCTACAACCTGTGCTGTGGCCACAACTGACCCTCAGCCCTGAGGCTGGATAAACCTCCAAGCCTGTGCTGTGCCAAAGCCTGTTTTAATAGCAGGAACCTGTCCTTCAGCCCTTAGAGTGGGTGGAAAAATAAGTAGGTGGTGCTGTAGAAGGTAGCTGCTCTTCAGCCCTGAGGCTGAGAAAGGTCTATGTGATGGCAGTGGCTCTTACAGGTATATACAAATGTTACTTGTGGGTCGTTCTTATCTCGCTATCTGCCTGTATTGCAGTCTGTTTTCTCATCTGTTAGGTATTTGCTGTAGGTCACGTCTTAATTAATATCAGCTGTGGACCTCCAGTTGGCCTATATATAGGTAAATGAGAGATCTAGTGAGACATGAGGAGCAAAATATAATACCAGTGTCCAGGAAAATTTTTTGATTGAGACTTTGTTTTGTTTTTTTTATTCATGTCTTAGATTTGTTCATTTTAGTTGTTTTGTTTTTTGTAGTTGTTAGTCAGATTAGGACAGGGAGTTAGCCGAAGTCTTTCCTTTTTGTGTTTGTTGTGTTTTCAGGTTCACAGCTAGTTACATTTTTTATTTTTTTTTACTGATAGGACCTCACATATAACTGTGATACTAGTTAACTAACGTTGTACCTGAGATTGTCAAATAAATTAGTACTCTGGTTTGTTTTTTTTCAAAAACAGGCACAAGTGCTGTTTGTTTTTGTTTTTCTTGCGGCTCATTGTTAGCCACAACGGGCACACCTGCACACTCTCTAAGTTTTGGGAAGGCTAGGTGGGAGCATAACACAATGCTCTTCTTCAGGTCTAAGGCTGGGGTTGTAGTGCTGAAAAATAAAAGTGAAAGCCTTCAGCCTGGAGGCTGATGATCGGGCAGTATTTGTTCTGCGTCTTCTTCTCCTGGTTGTCCTTCTCCTGGTTGTCCTTCCTGGTTTCATCAGGCCTGGAGCAGGGAGCATATTGTCTCCTGTGAGCTTCACATCACTATCTTAGGTACCGGGAAAGCTTGGCAAAAAAAAAGGAGTCCCTGGGAAAAGTAACATGTAACATGCCTTGAAGATGCCTTAACATGGCATCACAATATGTGTTCTTAGTCAAAGCTTTCTGTTGGTCTCTCGGTCACTGAGAATATGTATGTTATAGTTTTTTCATCTTATTGATGTTTTTATTGTTGTATTTCCCTGTTATAGTGTCATGCTGATGAAGTTCTCTCCTATCTGCAGGATACACCGGGTTCAGGCTGGCGAACAGCTCGGACTCCTGCTCTGGACGAGTGGAGCTGCAGTACGACAGTAAATGGGGGAGTGTGTGTGACCAATACTGGGACCTGAGAGATGCCAGTGTTCTCTGCCAGCAGCTGGGCTGTGGGAAGGCTGTAGCAGCACCACGACAGGCCTGGTTTGGACAGGGCAGTGGACCAGTATGGGCTGATGTGTTTGAGTGCCGGGGCAATGAGAGCCGTCTCTCACACTGTGCTGTCTCTTCATGGGGGAGAGCAGTGTGCTTTCATGGACAGGACACGGGAGTCATCTGCTCTGGTGAGAATGCAACTATCAAACCAATTTACATCTTGATAATTAAACATGTTAACTACTAAAAATATATGAACTCGGGACATGCAGTCATTACATGCAGAATGTAAATGTGATTTTGACACATTGCTGGTGCTCCACTTCCATCAATCTGTTGGATCCTAGTGAAAAATTGTCTTTTAAATTAAAATTCAATCCAACCATTTTCTAACAGCTTCATCCAATTTAGGGTCATGGGGGAGTTGGAGTCTACCCAAGCAAGCAACAGGAGAAAGTGATACCAGTCCATCACAGTGCACAGACAGACACAAACACACCGATACCTGGGGCAGTTATCCCAAAATCTAATTAACCTATCAGAATCTTTCTGGACTGTGGAAGAACATGGGAAGAACATGTAGGTCATTAGTGCTGTGAGGCAGCAATGTTAACCACCACAATGCAACCCAATAAGTGAAACATGATGTCCAAACATTTTGTTGTAAAACTGTTAATAATTATTTAAAAACAATGTTTCTTGATGTTTAACACATGGATGTATCATGTTAATTTTACCAAAAGATAATGGTGAAATCAGTCAGGTATGAACACATTTTCCATCCTTTCACCTGGACAAAACAAATTCTCCATCTCCGTGGGCTGGTTTTATGGTACTGATATCTGACTGACAATAAAACGTGATGTTCATTCATTTTTTAGATTCATCCTTGTCAGCTCTAGATGGTGGAGTCCAGCTGTCAGGAGGAGAGAGTCACTGTGATGGCCGGGTGGAGGTTCACTACAACAGCACCTGGGGGAGACTCCTCCAGCACTCCTGGGGCTACAGAGAGGCCTCTGTGGTCTGCAGACAGCTGGGCTGTGGCTCTGTAGTGTAAATACTGTATACCACTCCTCTCTGTATGGGATAGTGACAGTACTGTGTGTCTGACAGGTATTCAGTGCACTGGGGATGAGTCTCACCTGGTGAACTGCAGTTCTCCACAGACATTCAGCTGTAGCACTGGACAGGATGTGACCCTTCTCTGCTCTGCTATTCAATCTATTTGATTTTTTTCATTAGTTTTTTATTAGGTCCATGGCGATCAGGTGTTTTAGTTGTGTATTGAAGCATATGTGTACAACTGTATTGGAGTCAGAATCACTTTTCCAGTGATCCTTTGGTGCACAATGTAAAGACAGGAAACATACGTGTTAGTCATGTTTATAAATATAGATAGATAGATACTTTATTGATCCCGTGAGGGAAATTGCAATGCAACAGCATCTTAACACACACAACACAGCATGTTAAAATATGTGTCTGTATCAATTGATGCAATCTCTCTCCTAGCTCAGCGCTCTCTCAGGCTGGTTGGGGCAGGAGGTGACTGTGCTGGGAGACTGCTGGTTTATCACAATGGCTCCTGGGGGACAGTCTGCGATGACTCCTGGGACCTGGCAGACTCTTAGGTCGTGTGCAGGCAGATCCAGTGTGGGCGGCAGTCAGTGCCCCAATGGCAGCCTCCTTCAGCCAGGGAACTGGACCCATCTGGCTGGATGAGGTGGGCTGTCTGGGGAACGAGTCGTCTCTTTGGGAGTGTCCCTCAGCAGGGTGATGACTGCATGACTGTGGACACAAGGAGGACGTGACAGTCCTATGTTCAGGTATAGAATACCAAACTGGTTTATTTCAACAAGGAGATGAGATTCTGATGACATGAGGCTCCAATATAACTGGCCTGATAGTGATGTAACTCTCAATTATCCCAAGATCACTAACTAGTGTTGTCTGGGCATCTGGTTTATGACTGTGACCTGAGAGGTGTGAGGTGTTTGGCACGCATCAGATTAAATCTGATTGTACTTGTAGGCTGTTCCAGATGTGGTGTCGCCGGGGGAAAAGCAGGTGTAAAAGGGATGTTTCTCACACCACACTGATCTTCTCCGTTTCTTTATCTGTATGTTTTCCAATTCTGAGTCGTAATCCGTTTCCAGTATCCTTAAACAATCCAAATTCCAAAGTCCGTATGTCCACCCAAATCCATACCGTAATCAAGTTGTAATCCGTAAACCGTAGTCGTAAACCATAAACCGTAGTCCGTTATTCCTTAACCCTTTCAACCACAATCCTAATGCTCTTCTTCCTGCAAAACCTTATCGGCTTCCGCACTGACTCACAGCTTCTGGGGCATTTATATTCTGTTTCCTGATGTAGCTCACCTGTGTCTCATTGTTTCACTGCACAGGCCTTTTCCAACAGCAGGTCAGCTGGTTCTCCTTGGCGGCCATCTTGCTCAGGTCTATATCGAGTATATTAAGTAGTGTAGGTGTGTATGTATAAAAATGTTCACAAAAAATTAAATACATAATGCAAAGACATAAAATATCTGAGTTATTTAACAAAATGATCCAATTGTAAATATCTGGGTGTGAACGCACTTACAAACATTTAAATTCCGTAACTACTGGCACCTCTTTCAGCAGCAACAGTTTCATCTAGATGTTTCTTATAACCAACCTCTTATCAGTTTCTTTCATTGGCTTTCAGGCAAACTAGTGATGTTTGAGAGTTGTCTTTCCTATAGAGCTCAGTTCAGGTCCTGCCACAACTTTTCAAAGAGATTTTTATCCAGACTTTGACTCGACCGATCTGAAACGTGACATTTCTGCTTTAGCCACTGTGTCGTAAGTCTGCTTGTTTGTTTAGCATACCTTTCTTGACGCATTTTCTTCTCAGCTTCAGTCAGTCAACAGTCAACATTTCTTGACACATATGAAATACACTAAACATTTCTTAATGGGTCCATACATTTCAGTGCAGAAAATATACTTCCCATAGTCTTATGTAATCCAGGTGCTCTTTAGTGAATTTGAGATGGGCAGCACCATACTTTTTAGAGAGAAAAGTTTTCTTCCTTTCCCTGTGATGGACTGGTGTCTCATTCAGGGTGTACTGTGTCTTGTAGGGATAGACTCCAGCACCCTGCAACCCTCAGTTGGAAACTTGGAAGATGGATGGATGTTTTCTTCCTGGCTATCCTTTCATAAAAACCATTGCTGCTCAGAATTTTCTTGATGGTGAAGAGACTAACTTTAGCCGCAAGGAGAGAGAGGCCTACAGATCCTCAGATACTACTCTAGAGTTCTTTGAGTAAAAAGCCTCCTGGGTGATTTTCTGGGCTACTCTTGGGGATATCTTGGTAGCTCCTGGGTAGTGTCTCGGTGGTCAATAATATATGTCCATTATGATTAGAAAGGGTTTTGCAATCATGTCCAGACTGATAAATATCAACTCTTGTCCAATAGTTTGGACAGTCCTGTCCAATGTAACTGCTTTATTACTTGTTACCTGATTTTTTAACCACCTGATTCTAATTATTCTTTTGTGGCAAATAAACTCAGGTAACACTAATTTCACAGGCTTGACCTTTCATTATTCACTGTTTTCTACTTTTTTCACCATTTTATCTAAGAAATATGGAAGGGCATCGCTGCTACCAAGGGAAAAAAATATATCCCCTTATCTCATAATTACGAGATAATGAATTACCTCATAATTACAGCAATGATTACTTCAGTGTATATACAACCTGTTTCGTTGTGCAGTGAATCCATCTAGAAGCTATTGTGAACTTGGCTGGCACTTTCGGTTTAATGATCGTGTCAATGTCCAGCACTGCAGAATTTGTATGGATTTACTTTCGACTGGTGTTTACTCATAATGGAATCTTGCCATTTTTATCAAAGAAAAACATAATAATTTTAAGCATAAGGGCCAGTTTTGTGGAGTTTAGAGATAAAAGCAGTGATGATTATGAACAGTTATACAGTGGATATAAAAAGTCTACACACCCCTATTGAAATAAAAGAATATGCACACTTATGCAACTAGAGTATTGTAGGTTTTTTTATTTCAATTATTTTTCCTAATAATTATCGATTTGTTTTTCTCTTGTATTTTGTTGGGTGCAAGGTCACATTAAAGATGGAATAATGTCTGGCATTATTTATTTTGATTTCTGGCTTAACATCACAAAAACCTGCAATTTCAATAAGGTTGTGTAGACTTTTTATATCCAATTTACTTGCAGTCAGTTCCACAGCTTAAAACTGTAAGTCCGCCTGTAGTTCATAAAGTACACGAGAATTACTATTTCGAAATTACTAGATACTTTTTTTCTTAATTCAGAGATAATTCCTTAATTCTAATTATGACATTAATTAATTAGGGCATTTTTTTCTTCGTGGCAGCAATGCACTTCTATACAAAAACATCAATTGATAAATCTAAAAAATTGAGGTTTTAGAAAAAATAATAATAAAATAAAAAATATGATATTAAGAAATTAATAATTCCCATTATCACTAACTTTTTCTCTGCAGTGTAGAAATACATATGGAGTGTTGATTCATGTATTGACTACTGAATATCCCAAAGTGCTGAAATCAACATCAAATCAAGGATGTGAGGACACAAATGAAAACTAAGTATAGGATCAGAAATAACTGAAGGGCTCCTATTTATAACCTTTCTCATATTCAGTCTGTGCTGTGTTCTTGGTGTTCTGTGAAAGGATGTTAAACAACTGTCTTTCATACATAATGGTTCAGTTGCTCTGACAGTTTCCTGTTTCATTCCCAGAGCAGAAGCAGCTGAGGCTGTCTGCAGGCTGTTCAGGACAGGCAGAGGTTTACTAAAACAGCACCTGGGGCAGCATCTGTTCCAACGACATGATGGACACCACAGCTGCAGTGATCTGTAAGCAGCTGGGCTATGGAGACAAGGGTGACTTTAAAGAGACAGGGGGGCTCAGTGCTGCTCCCCGGTGGCTGGATAACATTCACTGTCAAAAACATGATTCCACACTGTGCCAGTGTCCCTCTTCACCCTGGGGTCAGAATGACTGTTGGAACACTGAAGCTGCTGACATCACCTGTTCTAGTAAGGTTCACTTAATTATTATTATTAGTAGAGGCAATGGAATTCAGATTATATAAATCACACCTGACTCTATTGACCTGAAAGGTATCTAAAGGAAATAAGCTGGATTTCCTGCTTGGCTGGAGGCATGAACTGCTCTGGCAGGGTGAAGCTGCAGTACGAGGGCTCCTGGGGGACAGTCTGTGATGACTCCTGGGACCTGCAGGATGCCCAGGTGGTCTGCAGACAGCTGGGCTGTGGGTATGCAGTAAGTGCACAGATAGAGGCCTCATTCGGACCAGGAAGTGGCGCCATCTGGCTGGACGAGGTGAACTGCACAGGTAGTGGTAGTGGGCTCCATCTATGGGACTGCTGTCACTCTGGACTGAATCAGAGTGACTGTCGACACAAGGAGGACGCAGGGGTTATCTGTACAGGTGAGGGGAGTCTTAGAACTGTAGATGAACAAGGTAGCAGAATGGTGGAGAAGATACACTGTCGTTACACATATTTTATCACTGGTTAATTTCTAACTGAACCAACTAAGATCATCGGTCACAAGATTGGGCTGTTGTGTAGCTCCTTGTGTGTAAACGACACAAGCCTTTAATTCAGAACAATACATCTTTTGTCCTGCAAACCTACATTTGACCTCAAGGAACAAATGTAATTTTTGATTTTTATTAAGACCACTATGGTTTCAAATTGCTCTAAAACCAACGGCAAAATAATGACAGTTCTCCTATCTCTTTTACAGGTTTGTCAAAGACAACAGTCACTCCATCAACAGCTACAGGTGAACAGTCATTGACGACTCCTGTCTTTCTGTCTCTTCAGATTCTCAGTGTAACTGTAGTGTCTCCTCTCTACTGTGTGAAGATCAGTGTTTTCAGGTTCAGGTTCCTAGTGTAGCTCTAGTGCCAGTGCCTTCTCTCTTTCCTGACTGATTTACTGATTTACTGACAATCTTTATGG